TATATATATATATATATATATATATATATATATATATATAAATGTGTATGTATAGGTCAAAAGATTTGATTTTTGAAATGTAAAAGTTATTTTGTTTTTTTTTGAAATAGGGTAAAAATAAAGTAAGGAAGGGGAATTTCCCCATTGTCATTTACAACTCTGAGCCCAATACTAATGATGGGCTTACAGGAGTGATTGCTTATCCAAACACCTCTCTTTCCAAAGAATCCACCACAGCAACCAGCGTCCTTCCATCTCAAAGGCCTCTCTTTTCCAAACAATCCACCACAGCAACCAGCGTCCTTCCATGGCATTCACACCGACACTCTTCTCAAAGGCTTCTCTTTTCTCTTACAGAAGAACCTTTTGCATACAATTAGCTTCTGCTTTTCACGAATTCCAGCCCAACAAGAAGTGGAGGCAACCGGTGGCATCAGTTCTCAAGCTTGGTGGCGTCAAGATTTCCAAAGATGGTACATGCCCACTTCTAGAAATTAATTTTTTTCTTCAACTGCTTCGCTCGTGTTTTATATTTTCAGTTTGGATCGAAGTTATTTTCATTTTTCTCTGTAATGAGTGAAGTTCAACCTGGGAATGAATTCACTCAAAATCAGTACCAATTTAATAATCACAGCTCAATGAGTTAAGATCTCAGCCCAATTGCTGAATTAACCACTAAATTGAGAATGGGTAATGATAGAATTAGAGGAAGAAAAAGAAGATAGAAGAAGGAGTAGAAGAAATAAGAGAGAGAATTGATTAATAGAACTGATTTAACATCAACAACACGTTCATTTTCTCCTCTGTTCTGTAAATCGTATACCCATTTGCAAAAAAACGCAATAAGCAAAATGACACTTAAATGCTAGTTGTGGACCCCACTTCTGAAAGCTAGTTACGGTTGGTTGTTTTCCTTTTTTCCCCCATTTCTTCCATTCAATTGTTGCTGCCTCATCATCTCTCATTGTAATCACTATGAAAGTTCGTATCTTGGTTGTTCTGCTATGAATTACTCATCAGAATTTTATTTTTTTTACTAGATGGGTAATTCTGCAAATCGACTATTTGGATTGACTATTGTTTTGAAAAACTTGAATATCTTTGATTTTAAAAGGTGGGTTTTGTGCAATTGGTACTGAGTAATGGTATTTGTAAACTGTACTTACCCAGCAGTCCATGTGACGGGGCATCGCCACATTAATGAATTAAAATGCATCCCAAGAAAACGTGGCAGTTACCTTCCTGCCACATAGATGATGATGGGTAATCACCGGTTACAAATATCATTGCTCATTGTTATTTTGGAGTGAGTGGAACAAAAGCGAAAGAGAATGTGCACCTTTTATTCTAGGATATGTGTTCTGTGTATTTGCAGATTGGCTATGGCTTAATGGAAGGTTTTGCTTTCTTGGGTTGAATTTTTTTCAATTTATGTATGGGCTGAATGTGGGGGTTGGCAAGAATGGAGTAGATTTTTTCATATATTTATATTTGTTCCCATTTATTTAATGGGTTGTGTGATCATGCCATATTTCTCGAATCATTGCTCGTCAACTTATGGAACTTTGGATGATTAAATTTGCAGAAATAGTAAGAGATGACCCAACAAACAATGTTCCTGATTCAATATTCTCAAAGCTTGGAATGCAGCTTCACAGGAGGGATCAGCATCCCCTTGGCATCCTGAAGAATGCAATCTATGACTATTTTGACACAAATTATCCCAACAAATTTGACAAGTTTGATGATTTGTGCCCAATAGTTTCGACCATTGCGGTAGGTTAATTGGTCCATAAAGGAATTTGAAGCTTGCTTGTCTCCTCAATTAACATGTCATATGAACTCGCAATGCTCCTAGCTATGATTATTTTAATAGTGGTGATCAAATGTTTGGTATTTTCTCCCCTGTGAAAGTTTACCTTTTTCTTATTTAATATATTATTTCGGTTTTAGTGGGGTACCTCAATTGGTCCCCTGCTCTACTGATAGTTCTTGAAGCTTATAACAACAGGAAACACCACAATTAATGCTATAAAGGAAAAAACTCCAAAGGGTTTGGTTGATTTTACTATTTTTTTCTTGGTTCTTAATTAATGCTAGTATAGAAAAGGTGGGGAGCTAGGCAGCATCCAGGATATTTAGATGACGACACTATGAAATAACAATAAGTCCATTGACTTGAGCACCACGTATTAGAGTTAAAGAAGCTAGGGGACACAAAATCTCCAATATGACTTTGCTTATGTGCCAAAGAGTCTTGGGGACTGAGTAAACATTTTCCAAGTCATGATAACCGAACTTCATCTCTTTATTTCTAAGAACGCCTA